CTACCTATGACAAGGAATTCTACGCGGTCATCCAGTCCCTCAGATACTGGAGACATTACTTACTGCCACAAGAATTTGTGATATTCTCAGATCATGAGGCCTTGAGATACATCAATTCACAGAAGAAACTCAATGTCCGCCATGGTCGTTGGGTTGAATTCTTACAAGAATACACTTACACGATTAGACATAAGGCTGGATCTGAGAATAAAGCTGCGGATGCTCTTAGCAAGAGGCTGATGATTACTCAAGGAATGAGAACTGAGGTTACCGGATTTGAACGCCTTAAGGAGGATTACTTAGATTGCCCTGATTTCAAAGAAACCTATTCCCTACTGACTAGCGGGGAAGATGAAGTTATAAATGATTTTCTCGTAGAAGATGGCTATCTGTTCAAAGCGCAAAAGCTCTGTATTCCCAACACTTCACTTCGGGAATTTCTAGTTTGGGAGTTACATGCCGGAGGTTTAGTTGGCCACTTCGGGCAAGCCAAAACTATTGCTGCACTAGAAAATCGATTTTATTGGCCCACCCTTAAACGAGACGTCGGCAAACTCTTACGGAGGTGTCACACATGCCAATTGGCCAAACAACGTAAGCAAAATACGGGCCTCTACACACCTCTCCCCGTGCCCAATTGCCCCTGGCAGGATGTAAGTATGGACTTTGTATTAGGATTGCCTAAGACCTTGAGAAAACACGATTCTGTTTGTGTTGTCGTCGATAGGTTCTCAAAGATGGCCCATTTCCTCCCCTGTGCTAAAACTTTTGATGCCTTCTGGGTTGCTAAGCTCTACTTTGACGAAATTGTGAGACTTCATGGATTACCAAAGACTATTGTCTCTGATAGGGATGTTAAATTCACGAGTTATTTTTGGAAAACATTATGGTTTAAGATGGGTATGAAATTGCAGTTTTCCACAGCCTTCCACCCACAGATCGATGGTCAGACTGAAGTCGCTAACAGAAGCTTAGGAAACCTTTTAAGAACGTTAGTAGGCGAAAACCTTAGAGATTGGGATTCTAAGTTACCCATTGCCGAGTTTGCCTATAACAATTCTGTCAACAGAACCACGGGTCTGAGTCTCGCCGAGATCGTGTATGGATACCAACCTAGGCAACCTATAGATCTAATTCCCATGAGTCATAAGTCTAGGTCGTCTGAGTCTGCATCTGCATTTGCATCTCATTTACAAGAATTGCACAAAGAAATTAAGAAAAGAATTGAATTGAGCAATGCTAACTATAAACTTAATGCGGACCTCAAGAGAAGGTTCAAAGAATTTGATGTAGTTGATTATGTGATGGTTCGGATTCGTCCGGAGCGGTTCCCGCAAGGGACCGTTAAGAAGTTACACGCGAGAAGCGTGGGCCCTTTCAAAATAATTTCTAAAATTAATAGTAATGCTTATGTGCTTGACCTTCCCGAAGGTTTCAACTTTAGCCCCACTTTTAACGTTGAAGATCTTGTAACCTATGAGGGTCGAGAATTTAACCCACCCAACCCATTACTTGATGAGCCTTGTGAGTCCCCACCTGGTAAGATCCCTAGCCTACCTCCACTCCCAAAATTTCCCACTTTACCTACTGCGGAGAGGATTGAGGCAGTACTTAGCGATGAGATCATTTCTACTAAAGACGGTGGTCGCCGAAGGTACTTGATTTAATGGGCAGGAAAGCCGGAGATGGAGAACGTGTGGATCGACCGAGATGAGCTACAGAGATTGGACCCAGACTTGCTAGAGTGGTACGAGGCTTCTAGAGACACTCACTCGACGGGGTCGAGTTTTCTCCCACCTGGGGAGAATGATGGGGACATTAGATTTCGACACGTGTACCATCGCCGGAGACGCCGATCGACGGCCATGATTCAGAGCCTTTATTTTTGACGTTTTATTTTATTCATGTCATTTATAGTTCATGTTTTTCTTTTTGTACCCCTATGAGGGAATTAGTGTTTATTGTAGCCCAAGGGCGTTGTCGTATTTATGTGTTGTATTTCTAGTTAGCCTATATATATAAAAGGCTTTGTCATTGTATTGGGGATTATTATTGAATGAATGAAAATTTTCCATTGTGTGATCTCTTTGTGAGTTCTCTGTGTATTAGTTCCATTGATCTTCGCCTCACCCACAAGCGACGCCACCCACAATCATCCAATCGGAAGAAGTCGGATCAAAACCCCCTCTTGTCGCCACCCCTAGACCTCCTTGCCGACCACCCCAACTTCACCGGCCGGCCTCCTTGCCGCCGGTCCTCCTCCCCTTCCTCCTATTGCTATGAAAACTGAAAGAATTTCAGTTTAATCTCCCCCTCTCCCTACTCTTCTACCGCCGGCCTCTCCTCTCTCTTTCCCCAATAATTCCTAATTAAGGAATTAATTGCCCTCTCATTGAAATTCAAATTTCCCCTCAAAAACTCCCAAAACTGAAATTAATCTCAGTTTTATTTTATTTATTTTCTAAAACCAACCTACCCTCACCCCACCTCTACCGCCGGCCTCCCCATCCACTCTGCAACCCGCCGCCCACCTCTCCCCCTCATTTGAGAGTATCTTGCGGCGACCCCCCTTCGCATCTTCAAGAATGCATGGAGGAACCCGAGTGGAACTTCGGGTTTGAGTACGACAACCAAGGAAGAGTTAACATCCTCAAATCGCCCTTCTTCGACGTCGGTTTCGATTTCGACGACACCGTCGAAGAATATTTGGACTGGATTCTACCAACATTAGTGGATTCAATCGACGACCACTTTTTCGTCTACACGTGGATCATTGAAAGCCGTCCACCCGCCCCTCCGAATCTGGCTTCTTCCCCGGCGACAAGTCCTCTCAAGATCACTTGCCTATTAGTGGCATCGCTAAGTCTACTTATGGTCCTCTTCCGCTAGCCACCACTTTCAATATGAGTGATGGATCTCAAGGTGAAGGATCTAGACTTTAAATTTGGGACTTTGTTATCTTTCGCCATTTGCATTATTTAAATGTTTAGTTGTTATTTTGCAAGTCAATGTATTCTCTACATGTGATCTCTTGCCCTTGCTAAATCTCACATTAAATTTTTCTTTACCTAATCTTGAGCAAGCAAAGATTTATTTATTAGCAAGATCAATTTCATCACCTTTATTAATTTCACCAAAGCAATTCTTGTTCATCTCATTTTGTTTCACATCAGATAGGATACAAAATGAGCATATACGTTAAAAGATTGGAGTAGCTCCAATGGATGATAAGATTAGAGAGAGTCGCCTTAGATGGTTTGGGCACATAATACTGCGGCCTTTCGATGACCCAATTAGGAAAATAGATGTACTAGATTTGACTTGTTTTAAAGAAGGTAGAGGTAGACCTTAAAAGGCTTGGTTAGGAAATATTAGAAATGACATTTCTTTATTAGATTTAGATGAGAATTTGACCCTTAATAGGACACAATGGAGAAAAAGAATTAATGTAGTTGACCCTACATAGTGGGATAAAGGCTTGTTGTTGTTGTTTAAGGCTTGTAGCCCCTAAAATTCTCTTTTGATAGAATTAGTCTGTTTTTCATCATTCATGTCTTCATGATGATTGACTCTTTTGAAAATATGTAAAAAAAATTAGAGATATTGAGGGGAATAAGAATGAAAGAGAAGAGAAACAATGATTGGAATTAAGACCCTAACCATGTTCTGATATCATATAGAAAAAGAGATGTAGCTAGAAAGCTTGCATTATTTATTTATTTATTTCATCGGTTTCATACATAAAAAAATGCACATAGCAATTCGGAAATTATACAAGAGAAATAACTAATTAAAAAAATAGGTAGAGAAATAGTTACACAATAATCAAATTGAATGGCCGCTGACCACACATAATAAAATATGTATACATATATTCCATCTAGCTAGTCTCACTAGATTGAATGCTCTAAACATCCCTTCAAGCCACCAATCTGTTTGATCATGCCATCTTTTCTTATTTTTTGCCACATAGGAATACAATTATAGAATGAATGTGCTATTATAATTCATCGGACTCTACTTATTTCTTTCATGTTTTCTTCAAGTTAACAATCCATGGTATTTGTATTCTCAGCAAAAATCTGTCCCAAATATTTTATTGGTTAAAAGTAAAGCACCTGATTAGTTTTAGATGGTAGGCATAACACGGATTATTAAATGAATTCTAGACAAGGAGTTAGTGAATATTTAGTTGATGATGGGCACATGTCAGACTTAAACCTTTGACCTATATCCTCGCAACTAGGGTGCATATCATTTGAGCTTGAACTTTTAATGCCATGATTAGCCAGTTGGATGTTATATTGTTAAAAATTAATCCAAAATAAAATATGTGAGAAACTTCTTCTCCCCGTAGAAAAATAGTTTGTCTATATACACATTTTTTGATAGTAGAAAGTGTTTATCTTTGTCATTAATTTATGGTGAATTGGAAAAGAAGATACTTTTTATTATTTCTTGTCATCCTTCTAGTCTTATGTCTTATTATTTGTTTTCACATTTTTTTATCTGATGTTCTCTGAATAAAAGTCATTATTTATGATGAATAGGAAACGAAGATACATTTTTATTCCTTGGCTCATCCCTCCTCTCTGTCTTAATATTTGTTTTCGCGTCTTTGTATCTGATGTTGTCTAAATAAATGTCTTTACTTTGATTTCTCTCTTCAAACTGTCCCCCTTTCAATTTGTGATCGAGTTAACTACAATAATTTATATCCCTGCCTTCAGAATCCTCGACATAAAATTCAATAATTTAGCTATCAACGGACATTTGTTACTCCCATGCCATGCACATGTTGAATCTGTTTCCGTATTATGGATTATCAAGCTTGTTTGATGCGACTATTTGCTGGTATTTTAGGTAGAGGGACCCTATATTGTTCAGCTAAAGATGCTTGCTTGGACATTCTATATTTGAATTTCCTTTTTAATCTTCTTTCTTGTCTTGTCAAATTGTATAAAAAGTATATATAACTTATCAAACATCTTTGACACTAGATCAAGACTGAGAGTGGTGCAAAAGTAAAGGCTGAAAAATCTGGAATATACAAGAAATGGAAGGAAAGGTCACACAAGAAGATCTCTCTTGGTGGCTCTGCAACTGATGCTTCAGGACAGGATGCTGGTCATGCAGGTGAGCCTATATTTCTTCTTTCTTCCATGACAGCCTAATCTTACCATATTGTCTTCATCCACGCCATTGATAATGATTACAACAACAACACCAACATCAAGCCTTTATCCCACTATGTGGGATCAAAAAATGATTATATAACAAAAAAAATTAAATCGGTTTTTTTTCCCTAAATTTTTATCAAGAGCCTCAAGCCATTGGACTTATTTTTAGGATTAATTAAAATTTATATTATACTTATCTTAAAAGAAATATAATAAATTTGAGATTCATCTTAATAAAAAGTTTGATATGAATATACTTGTGCCAATTTTTCTTATTTAGTTGATGCCAATGCTCTTCATGTGAATCTTTTAGCTACTGTTCCTATCATAGTCGTTTGGTTGTTTTATTTTATGATTCTGCAATAACTGTTAGATCTTTAGTTTCCAGCTTCCATTTTATTTTTACTGAAAATTGAGAACCTTAGTTAGTATAAAGTTCCACATAAATTTTTGAACCAAATGTGTTTTGCAGGGAACAATCAAGCAAGAGGAAATAAGAGAAATTTTCGGGGTAGAAATAATCGACAATCACTGCCTAATGCGAACGTGAAATCTGAGCTTAGAAATCCTGAACAAGTGCGAAAGAGCAGGCAGCAGAAGGCTACCAAGATTGCTCGCTTCAACAGCAAGTCTACAAAGGGGAAGAAAAAATTTGGCAATAAGAGAAAATTTGGCAATAAGAAAAAATAAGTTATTATCTCAAAATTATTAAAATGATTTTGAGATTGATGTAATATTATTTTTTAATTATTTTTATGTATTGCACTTATATTAAAGAAATCCAATGATCTTGAGATTCATTCTAAAAAAAATTTTGTTTGAAGCAATTTTTTATTTTAAGAAATGTTCTTTAGTATTTGGCATAATATTTTATTTTTTGAAGTTATTAAAAAAAGTTTTCCATATATGATGACATAATTGTGTGCATATTTGGAAGGAAAAGAAGTTCATTGGAGAAGAGAAGCCTGAAAACATATAAAAAAAAATCAAATTATCAATACACATTTTAATAAATATATTCATAGAACTAATAAGTAAAGAAATATTTTCCAAAATCTTATCCAATAGCAAAAGTAGAAATGATGTATTGTAAAATATAGCACATTGGCACCTTAGTTGAATTTCAATGTCATGGTTGAAATTTCATTTGTATGAATTTTAATGGATTGAATATAAGCACAGTTTATATATATTATAATATTCATATATTAATGCGTAGGCCCCTCCGTGGGTTTTAACAAAAAAAAAATTATAATATTCCTATTAAAATATCATAAATTGAGTCCAAGTTTGTTACTGTTTTTTATTAAGATAACATTAATTTTGAAAAGGTCCAGAGGCAATAAAGCTCTAGTAGGGAAGAATGAATAATTTTTAATTAGCATTTATTTTAAAAATATTAGATTTATTTTAAGATGGGTGTAAAATAATTTTTGATTTATATTTTATGTAGTGCTTATTTTAACTATATATTTTTATAGTATAGAAACTTATTGAATACATTTTATAAATAAAAATTTTAATATAGGAGCTAAATGAAAATGCATTATTTTTTTTTAAAAATAAGCAATGGTTTGAGAGTTGTCAAGGACAAAGCTTAGTAATTAGGGCAATATTATCATCGAATTGATGTGGACTCTTATGATAGCCTTTATTTGAGGAACTTTTATTAGGTCCGGTGTAAGGACGTAGAGGAACGCCCGGTCGGAGGTAAAATCCCGCCAAAAAACTCGGTATTTGATCGATATTGTTAGGTATTATTTGATAATAATGAGGAATACCGCTTTGTGAAGGCCAATACCGAGTTATACCGGGCTATACTGAGCAATACCGAGTTGTACCTAGTTTTTTCTAGGAAAAACTCGGTACAACTTTTGTATAACTCGGTATTGCTCGGTATAGCTCGGCATAACTCGGTATTGGGTCTTCACGTGATGGTATTCCTCGTTATTGTTTGGTATTGCTCGGTATTTGCTTGATATTTCTCGTTTTTTGGCAAGATTTGGCCTCCGACCGGACGTTCCTATACGTCCGGTCGGAGGACGTAATAATTGTTCCTATTTGAGGGTAAGATGTCTTGCACATTCGTAATAACCCCTTCTTGTGGATTAAAATATTTGCAGCCGTGGAGAGTAAATTTTTTGCCTTAGTGATGCACATATATTCAACACACAAATAGAGGGAGAGAAGTAAAACACCTGAAATTTTTACGTGGAAAGCCCGAAGAGGGAAAAATCATCAGGCTTTTCCTAGGCGAAAATATTGAAAGTTTGTTAGGAATGTTAAGCCATTGTGAATTAGTCTAATAATTAACCAAGAGGGGTGGGGGGGGGGGGTGTGGGGGGTGAATTTGTATTTTAAAAAAAAAAATTAATAAAAAACACAATCTTAAATCAAAACAAAATTCACCACAAAAAAATTAAAGTGCAGAAACCAGTAAGAAAGAACACACAGAAGTTTATAGTGGTTCGGTCAACTTGACCTATGTCCACTCCTCGAAGCCTCTTCTTTGGGTATTGCACTAAACTCAGTGACTCTCCTTTTGTTCCCATAACAAGGAGGAGAAGTTTGTACAAACCTCCTTTTCACCGACATCGGTGAGGAAGAGAACCCAACTCCTTTTGCTTCTTCCTGAACCAGGCAAAGAACCCGACTCCATTCGCTTCCTCCTAAAGCAGGTAGAGAACCTTGACCAATTGCTGAAGTAGACCTCTCTCGAACCTCCAAGGAACTACGACGACAACTAGACAAGATGACTCAGATCCTTGCTTGGAGCAACCTTTGTGAAACCCCTCACAAACTCCCCCTCACAAGATCCTCTCTCTCTCTCTCTCTCCCTTAATCTTCCTCTCCTTTGGGCTCTCTTAGGTCAAGATAGCAGTAAAAGATACAATCTTGGGTAAACAAGAGGTCTTATATAGAAGAGCTTCGGATTTGCTCTTAATTGCAACAAACCGATATTATCGTATAGGACGATCAGTCGACGTCCTGTACGATCAGTTCAAAATTCAGCTCAATCAGCCCGGACAATCTGGGAGTGCCTAGACGATCAAAGGACATGTTTGTTTTGATCATCCAGTATATTGTCATGTACGATTAGTTCAAAAATGTTGAACATCGTCCAGAGCATCGCCTTGTTTGCATGTCTTGATGATGGAAAAATAAAAATATCGTCCCGGATGATTTCATGATCGTTCAGGACGATTAGTTCAAAACACCAAACATCATCTAGAACATTGTTCTTATTACATCTCTAGACGATGGAAAAATAACTGATCGTCCAGGACGATATAGGATCGTCTCGGACAATTAATATAAATCAATAAACATTATCCAGAACATCACCCTAGTAATCTAGGATGAAACTAAAGTTTGTTTAACTGATCGTCCTGTACGATCCTGAGATAGTCCAGGACGTTCAACCGACGTCTTGTACGATCAGTTCAAAATTTAGCTCAATCAGCCCAGGCAATCTGGGAGTGCCTGGACGATCAAAGGACATGTTTGTTCTGATCGTCCAATATATTATCCTGTATGATTAGTTCAAAAATGTTGAACATCGTCCAGAGCATCGCCTTGTTTGCATATCTAGACGATGGAAAAATAAATATATCGTCTAGGATGATTTCACGATCATTCAGGACGATTAGTTCAAAACACCAAACATCATCCAAAACATTGCCCTGATTTCATCTCTAGACGATGGAAAAATAACAGATCATCCAGGACGATATAGGATCATCCTGGACAATTAATATAAATCAATAAACATCGTCCAGAACATCGCCCTAGTAGTCTAGGACGAAACTAAAGTTTGTTTAACTGATCGTCCTGTACGATCCTGAGATCATCCAGGACAATATGATCGAGCAATGAAATCTTAATTGCTTTCCTAGTTACCAAACTAATTTAGACATAATTTTACTACATTGTTCATGACGATGTCCAAAAATAAAACATGCCTAAATAGATATGTCGACTAATTCTATCTGATTTGAGCATATCGTCCAGTACGATGATAAGATTGTCCATGATGATTTACTTAATTGCACCTGCCTTAACCAGGATGCTCTAATTAGGGTTTTTGTTTTTAATGGATCGTCCAAGATGATAATAATATCATCCCAAATGATGTGATAAAAAAACTCTAAAATCAGACAGAATTTTTCTCAGAGAGTGTGTGTGCAAAGTTACTTAGCATCATGATCCATTTTTATTACAATTGACTCAATAAAAGGTAAAAACATTTTAACAAATGTTTAGAAATAGACTATACCTAATCTTGAGCTGGCTTGATTTGTAATTTGGCCTTGTGGGCCTGAAACATTAGTAAGCAAGACAGTCGTAGAAAAATAGAAGTGTCTGAAATATTTGCTATCATTAAAATTATAATTCTTGAATCCAGATTTGCAACAATCTCCCTCTTTTTGATGATGGCAAACAAAAATAATTTAATCGGTTTAATAAAGAAAGTAAATAAGGAAGTTTAAATTTTATTTAAATAGAAAATATTACTACAAAACACTACTACTACTTCCCCTTTTGATATCACAAAAAGGAGGGAAAGTGAAAGGAAACAAAATATAAACTACCAAACAGAAGTAAACTACAATTAAGAAAAAATGACATCATTAAAACAAACTAAAAGAAGAATGGCCCCTGATCATCAAAAGGAGGTGGTGGTGGCGGCTGAAAGAAATTGGAAAGAGTAGTAAACTGCTCCCCAAATCTGGCCATGTCCTGGTCATGCTGGCGCTACTAGTGAGCTACGTTCGATTCAAAGCGAGCAACATCCTTTGCATATCGTTGCTCCTATGCAACAACATAGGAGTCAAATCGAGTCTCCCACTAGTCGAATTGCTCCACCAACTGATCCAGTTGTGAGTGCTTGCGAAATGGAGCAGGTGCAAGAATAGGTGCATGAGCCACCTCCTTCTCAGCTCCCTCATCTTCCTTGTACTCCGGGTGGAGATGAGTACTGTGGAAAACATGAAAAGAGTTGTTGGTGTAGAAGGCAGATTGAATGTTCGGAGGGGTAGGATATTGAAGGTTGTATTTGGTTCCAAAACATTTGTTATGATGTGACCTAAGGTAAGATTTGTCTTCCTTCTATATCCTGGATCCCTAATGCTAGGTAGTGCTCAATATAGCAGAAAATAAGATCAGCAGTATTGAATTCACGGTGGGCCATGATGTAAAAAGTCATGATCGAAAGGAGTGGAGTGATGTGGATGCGATCACCAGCTTTCGGAAGAACTGAAGTATGAAGGACATGTTGAATTGTCCTAGCTGAAAGTTCATTGGGGATGTTAAGCCCTATAGAACTGGCCCAAGCTAACCAAGAGGGGGGGGGG